AATGATCCATCTCCTGTCAGAGAGGCGAGGCGAAGCCTGGCAGGTTTCCTGTGACGTTTTCCCGGTGAAGACGCCTCATTTAGGAGCAGGGAACCCAGGCGATGTGTTCAGTGAGCCTCCAGATAGGTCGTTTTTGTTATGACTCGGAAGATAAGCGCCGGCACGATGGGCTGGATACTACCGTCTGGTGTCCTCATAGACAACAATGGGAGGCAAAACAGGCCACAAAGTTAACCCTTTAAAGCCCGATCCAAGAAAAATAGGAAGAATATTGGATTTTTTTAGTCTGAAGTCTTTCTTTGGCCCCTCATCAACATATGAAGAAAAAAACCAGAAATTATTTTGATCAAATTAGCGTGCAATAAGTCAGAAATGTATTTTGGTGCAGTCTGGCTGTTATCAGGTATATCTGAATGTGTACAACAGGGGTTTGAGCAAAGCTTTTACCACTGAATGATGCAGAAAGTCTCAGATCCAAAAGAAACCGAATCAGATATGACACATTTGGCTTTATAGGGTTAAGACCCCCCAAAAACAGCTTTAAAAGCCCTAAGAAACAGTTTTAACCCTTTAAAGCCCGATCCAAGAAAATTAAGAAGAATATTGGATTTTTTTAGTCTGAAGTCTTTCTTTGGCCCCTCAACAACATATGAAGAAAAAAAACAGAAATTATTTTGATCAAATTAGCGTGCAATAAGTCAAAAATATATGTTGGTGTAGTCTTCTACTGGCTGTTATCAGGTATATCTGAATGTGTTCAACAGGGGTTTGAGCAAAGCTTTTACCACTGAATGATGCAGAAAGTCTCACATCCAAAAGACTTCAGAAACCGTATGAATCAAATATGAGACATTTGGCTTTATAGGGTTAAGAGGAATGTTTTTTGTTAAAGAAGAATGCGGTTCTTGTTAAAACTCATGTGTATTCTTAGCTTATCGTTTCATCAGAACTCACTGGAGTCAGTTCAAAATGCATTTTGAATAAAACAATACGGTTTGACAAGCATATTTATCAGGACGTTTTCACTCTCTGTCAACTGACTTTTTCAGTTGACAGAGAGTTAGGTCTGACTGTTAATAATGTAATAACTGGTTGAAACTAACTGTTGAACAGACACTAAAAGACTTTCACATTCAAAATTGGCAAAGTGAAATTAGGCAAATGACATCTTGTGATATTTATGCAGAAATTAAGCAAGAATATACATTCGAAAAATGCTTGTTATGTGAAAACCTTGGACATAGGCAGTAACCATCTTTAACCTTAGAACAAACAACACTAAAACCCCTAAACTCACTGGTTTAAAGGTATAAAGGTTTAGAGAGAAAGTTAAGATTATGTCAACTCTGTCCAGATAACTGAGTATCATGTTTTGTTTGAGTGTAAAAATGTAGAAATATGCCATTACAGTATTATATGAAGAGCCCATCCATGTTTAAAATGGTTTCATTACTTCAGTCTGGAAAAAAGAAAATCATTTGTAAGTTTTGTGCCTTTTTGAAATGGGTCCTCCCATTATATCGATGATGTCATAGTTTTAATGTATATGCGTTACTTTGTTCTGTTATATTTATTATTGTTTGTGCTCAAAACCATGTATATGGTCATGAGCAATCAAATAAAATAATTACATTTAATTGAAATACTGGGAGAGATCAGCCAAATAGAACTAGAGTTTCTTGTGTGAAAAATGTTAATAAAGAAGCTGACTGCATGGTTT